ATGTACTTAGAGTTTTATGAGTTACATATTTTTTGTGTTTTTCTTTATGCGGATTCTAATAGTTGAAAATGAATAATAAACAGCATTTTGACATATGACTAAATATTTTATATTGCAGGGCCAGGAATTCAACAATGATTACTTTTCCTTTTCTGTAACGCCAACATATAACTCAAAGGCATTCATTCGTAGGTTCAAATTTAAATGCAATCACTCATTTTAACACTATTTGTTACTTAAAATTGTGCCATTTTAAAGTCATTTTTGCCTTTYTTCTATAGTTTTTGGATTAAATTATGTACTACATACAAATTGCTAGAACAGTGTCCTAGGATTGATCAGCTTTGTCAACACTGTTCTTGTGAGTTGGATTTACTCTTTCTAGATTCTGTGCTCACCTTACCAGTTCTCTTATTTTGGTGGAGCATTTCTTCAGGCTACTTCCCTCTCTTTAATTTTTTGGTACTAGGGGTTGAATACAGGAGCACTTTACCACTGTGCTACATTCCCAGTCCTTTTTAATGTTTTTTTATTTTTGTTGTTGTTGTTGTTTTGTTTTGTTTTTAATTTTGAGATAGGATTTTGCTAATTGCTGAGGCTAGCCTCAAACTTGTGGTCTAACTGTCTCAGCCTCCTGAGTTGCTGTGATTACAGCTATGCACCACCGAGCCCGGCTTGCTCAGGCTACTTCTCAGGAATGGGTGTATGGAGTTGCTCTTCTAAGCCCTTCCGTGCCTGGAAATTTCATTATTATTCCTTCTACCTGATTAATAAGCTTTGAAAACAGTTTTCCCTTTCTGGGGGGGGGTATTATTTTAATACAGTATTTCTGATGAAAAGCCTGGTGCTAGTCTGATTCTTATGTCCTGTAGTTTGTTCTTCCTGTTCTGAATTTCATGAAGATGGGTCATTTTTCATTTATCTAGTTTGCTACTTGGTGTGTCCTCAATTTGTAGATATTTCTTCCTTTAGTTTTTTGCTCTATAATTTGTTTGGGTGGCACTCTATTATTGATTGTCTCTTTTCTATTTTTCCATCTCATTGTTTTCCCTTTAGCTTTTTCATAGATTTCCCGCTTCCAATGAAGTATTATTTCAGCAATAATTTTTAAAATTTTCAACTTCTTTTTTCTGAGTTCTTCACTCATTGAGTCTTGCTCTWATTTTTATGAATGTATAAATTCTGAGAATAATAATTTGAATTGTTTTGCTTTTTATCCTGTTCTCTGAATTATGTTTTGTCATGTTACAAACTTTCCTTCAACATCTAACCAATTCATATTGGAGAATGACATGATAGAAAGTCTGACCAAGGTCACTGTTTATGTAGGCCCTGTTTTCCATGGAGAGATGTGCCTTATGCTAAACGGCTGACCTTATTCTGGGCCCACTCCCACCCTAATCAGTCAATGCCAGAAGAGAAGTTTATCTAGTTTCTCTAATGAGAAACCTCTCCCCTCCTGCCCTCTGGTCCTCTCCTGTCCCTCTCTCTTTCTTTCCCTGTGCCTAGGAGGATAACTGCAGAGGTAATTGGCATTTCAGGTGGGGATGGGGGGGAGGACACGACAGGTAATATTGAGAATTCAGCCCAGGTATGTTCTCTCACTGAGCTACATCCCACCCTTTCTTTTTTTTATTTTGRAATAGGGTGTTGCTAAATTACGTAGGCAGCCCTGAATCCTCCTGCCTCCCCTCCAAATTGCAGGGATTACAGTGTATGTGGGCCCAGCAGCAAATGGTTCTTATGTAGACCTTCAGTTGGATCCTTTTTTGAAACATTTTAATTCCTTTTGATGTTTTGTAACTTCTTTTTAGCTCCTCTTCCCTCTTCAGTTTTTCTTAGGTGCCAACTTTTCTGCTCGGGCTAGACGTTTTCAGGTTGTCCCTCCAGACCTACCTTTTATCCTTTTGCCTCATTGATTAACTTGAGAGATTGACCTTCATGGCTGAATCAACAGGCAGGTTTGCACCTGCAGGACACGGAGGGCCAGGGGAGCCAGCGTGGATGCTTTCTGTGCTCACTGCTTAGATGCTGCCTAGCTGCAGCTGGCACCGGGTGTGGCAAAGTGGCCTGAGAGCACATCAGCATTCTTGTGGTTTCCCTTCTCCCTCTGTTAAACTCTTCTCAGTGACTCATTTGGGTGGTCTCTATTTCCTGCCAGGATTTTGAGTGACAGGAAGTAATAATATTGACATATCTTCATATAACAATGTTATTTCTTCATCACATGTTGTTTTTCCAAAAATTTGTTGAAATCTTTCATCTGTTGATTGCCTATCTCTTTTTATTTTTTTATATATAGATTCTGGAGAGAAAACAGAGATCATGCTTTGCTTTTTTTTAATTTCTTTTTTTAAAGGACAGCTTTGCTGAGGTATTATTCAAATACTATATAGTTCCGTGTGTACAATTCAGTGGTACGTCTCACAAAAATATAATACCTTTCAATAATGTGAACCAAGAAATATAAGATCTTTATGGAAAAAATTTCAAATTTGAAAAATAACAATATTTTCAACATAAATGGAATGAATTACTGTTGATCCTCAAAATTATGAAAAATGTCAGTTCTTTAAATTGACCTCTAGATCTGTGCAGTGCCCATTAGAACTCATTAAGGTTTTTTGTAGAATTTGATAAGCTGATATTAAAATTTGCATTCATATGCAAATATAAGGAACCAAGAATAGCCAAAGTACTCCTAAAAAAAAGAGAAACATGCTACACTTATTATAAAGCTAACTTATTATAAAGCTTACTAACAAAATGATGAGCAAAAAATAGAAAGACTAGTGGAATAAAACAAAGGTCTGATATATAAGCATAGGGAAAATTATGGCATCACTTGCAGTTCTACCATGTCGGTCAAAAAGGACGTGTTTTGAAAAGTCATTTAAACATAATTCATTAAACATGCCTGAAACCCAGTTTGGTCTTTATGAGTGTTAAATTTGAAAATCAAACCTTTAAGTCTTTTAGAAGACAATGCTGTTGTGTGGATGGATTTATTTAAAAAGACAGAAAAGGGCTATATTCCCAACTACTTGAGAGGCTGAGGCAGGAAGATTGCAAGCTTGAGGCCAGCCTTGGCAAATTTAAGAGAACCTGTATCAAAATTAAAAAAAAAAAAAAAWTTAAAAGGTCTGAGAAATTGGCTCAGTGGTAGATCATTTGCTTAGCACGTATGAGGACTGGGTTCAATCTCTAGTACTGGTAGGAGGGAGAGAAAAGAAAAAGAATTAACCACTAAAATAAAGATGGATATGTTTGTTAAGTACTCGTTAACATTTTTCAATAAAAATGAGATGAAAACTCAGAATAGGATGAGAAATATATTATGCTACAATCAGTGAATAGGTATGGCCCCTTTATAGAGCAGGTGACTTTCAGCTGCACAGCTCTCGTATGAAATGTAGTTGACTGGTTCATTCAAGTTAGTTCCATGTACCAATAGCTATGCCCATGGTTTCTGAGACATGTCTTTCTGTCTTCTAGACCTTATCACAGGTACTTGAGCTTATCAGGCTTCTACAAGTCTGCCAAATCCTTGGAGTCTTTTCTCTGATCTGTCCTGTCCCAATATGTGAATGTGGGGGGCCACCTGCAGTTAGAGTCTTTAACTGAAGGGCTTTTGCCCTGAGGATGAGGCTGAGTCTTAAGGGGCATTTATACCTGGCATCTCAATTGTGCCTTATAGTTGAACATTAGTAATTGTATGTTTCAGTCCTGAAAATTCTTGAGTGTGTGGATTTCCTTTTCCTTTTCAACTTCTCACGGCCAGTTCTTTGCTGAATTTGTTTTCCTTATATTTTGTTAAGTGCAACTAATAGCACCCAGGGCTAGTTGCATACATTTTCCTGACTTCTTTGTATAAATCCACAAGTTCCTCAGTCTCATTATCTGCCTTTGAGTTAACTGCAGGCAAATGTAATTTTACCACTGTGTTATATATGTTCTTGTTTTTCAGTCTTTGGTAGCAGTTTCTTCATCCAATGCCAGTGTCACATGTGTTACGAGTTATGGCAATAACCTGCTCCTGCTACCAGTTTCTGTAGTAGCTTTCCCTAACTGAGGTTGCTATAACAACCTCCAAATTTTATGCTTTATTTCAATAGAGATTTATTTCTAGCTCCCATGTTAGCTACATGATGCCAGTGGTTTTGAGGCTCCATTAAGTGTCATTSTGTGTTTCAAACTGAAGAGCAATCGATCTTAGGTCAAGGGTAGAGTGAAAATGTTGAATCTTAAACTCCTCTTCATCTTTTCCTCAGATGTGAAGTAGATAATTTGCATTTGTATTTCAYTGACCAAAGCAGGTTAATATGGCCAAGCTCAGTTCATGTTTAGAGAATGTTTGTCTCTCAAAGACATGTACTGTAAGTCACGAAGCCCAAGGACAGGGATTTTTTAAAAAAATATATTTTTAGTTGTAAATGGACACAATACCTTTATTTTGCTTATTTAGTTTTATGTGGTGCTGAGGATCGAACCCAGGGCCACACACATGCTAGGCAAGTGCTCTACCTCTGAGCCACAACCCCAGCCCCAAGGACAGGGATTCTATTTCTCTTATGAGAAGAGGATGGTGGAGTTGAGAACTGTAACCATTTATCTACACACCCACTTCTAAAACACTTCTAAGGCTCCATTTTCAAACTGCTGAAGTCTTAGCTGAAGATGAGCATTTGGGAGTTATCAGTGTGTACGTGAGCATAAATAAGATCACCAAGGGAGAGGGAAGGAGAAGAGTGCTGGATCCTCCTGGGAGAGGTACCTGCGAAGGACACTGGGCACGAGCTATGAGAGGTAATGGAGTGACTAGAAAAGAAAGTGACTTGGACTTTTATCATAGAACTAGTTTTTGCTCCAAAAATTATAATTAAAAAAAAAAAAAACTAAATGCAAGTACTTTAAATCTATCTAGTTTGTACCATCACAGGAGAGAATTTCCAAAAAGCTGAAGAGAGTTAAAGTTAATATATGCTTTTTTGTTATTACAGAGATTTGCCACAATATGGTCAGAAGCAGTGGCAGTCCTATTTTGGAAGAACTTTTGATGTTTACACCAAACTCTGGAAGTTCCAGCAGCAGCATCGGTAAAGGAATTATATAGTTAAGGGAGAGGGTAGGCCTGTTTTATCGTTGTTGCAGTTTTGACCTTTAACTATCTAACTAGTGTTTTTTATCTTGGTACTTTTAAAACAGTTTATTTCAYTTTCATGATTTAAAGCAAAGGGAGTTTTTCCCTGTTTATTTAAGATTTTAAAATGTAGTGGTTTGGGTTTTGTTGTTGTTGTATTTGTACTGGGAATCTAACCCAAGGATACTTTACCACTGAGCTATGTCCCCAGCTTTATTCATTTTATTCTTTTAAATTTGGAGACAGGGTCTYACTAAGTTCCTGAGGGTCTTGCTAAATTGCCAGGTCTAGTCTAAATCTTGTGATCCTCCTGCCTCAGCTTCCCCACTCCCTAAGATTATAGGCAAGTGCTACCATCCCAAGCTAAAATGTGGTGTTCTTATCTGATTGTTAACCACAATGTTGTATCTGGAATGTTAGATTAACTCTAACTTGGGTGGGATGGTCCATGGTTTCTTCCTAAAGTCTAATGACCAGAGCTATGTGGGGAGGGGATGTTGCTTCCAGTTTTCATGGGCATAGCTCAGAGCAGTTTCTTTTAATATCTCAATTTACTTTAAATAGATACTTAACAAGTTCTTTTTTTAGTTGAATGATTATGTTGAAATCTCATGAGAAATTCATGAGCTTTGCTGATTGGTATTTTATCCCATTGAATTTACTGAATTGGTTATTTAAAATTTATAATCTGTTATTTCTATTTCTTATCTCATATAAAACAGACAAGTGTTGGATAATCGGTACGGCTTGAAGCGGTGGCAAATAGGGGAAATCGCTTCCAAGATCGGGCAGCTATACTACCATTATTAGTAAGTGACTTGCTAACGGAGAGAATCAAGTGTTGCCGTGCTGAGGAGACAGTATGCAGGAGTCTGCATAGTTACTCACTTGCTAGACACTGAGTTATGAATGGAATCTGGTTCAGAACAGATCAGTCAACACAGTATCATGAAATGGCCTTCCATAATACAAATTGTAGTACTTGCTTCAAGGACTCTTGTTGTAACATTTCATTTGGTCAGACTTAAAGGAGTGTGACCTTGACTTTTTTTTTTTTTAAGTTCTATTTTGTTCTCAAGTTTTGATTAGTACTGAATGAATTTATTGTTCTATGGCTTCTTCTAAGTCGTGATACTGTGAAGAAGCATAACACATATATGATGAATGAGTGATTATTTTTGTGAAGGATGCTTTTAAAAATGCATACTTATAGGATGTATTTGAAAGGTTACATGAAGTAAATGAAAATACTTTGGATTATATTCATAGAGGAATAATATCTGTGCAGTGAAGCCAAAGAAAGAAGATTCCTTTTAGGAATCTAAATCTSATTATCATGAAGTGATATCATTTTACAATAAAAATAACTTGGACCATTTATAAGTGAAAAGACAGCAAAGTCCATTTTCCTACATTTTGGTGTGTCACCCAAAATGCCTGCCCTCAAAATCACTCTCTTGGATAAAATATGCTCTTAAAAGGGCCTTGTAAAACTAGAAATACTAAGCACAGAACACAACTCAGTAACATCCAGTGAAGATTAATGTGAGTTAGTCCTTTAATGAAGTTTGTGAGGAAGAAAATTAAAGTGGGTCAGTGTTCAAGCAACTATGAATTTGGGGAACGTCATGGAAGATCTGGTTCTAGGAGCAGATATAACCAGATAGAATGTTGTTTGGAGGGTCTTTTCACAGAGGGAGAAAGAAGTGTACTTTGATTGGCATCCAAAAATCTTGAGAGTGGGTTGGGGAGTATTATTATTATTATTATTATTATTATTATTATTATTATACATTTTAAGCATGGTGTGATTATGCCTTGCTGATTCAAATTTTGGACAATCATTCCCATCCCCTGTAGATAAATAAGTAATATGGAACAAGTCTTTATCATGGTGTGGAGCTTCAGTTTTAGTCATATATAATATTCTTTTTCTCACAGCTTACGCACATCTGAGACCAGCTATCTGAATGAGGCTTTCTCCTTCTATTCTGCTATTAGACAAAGATCTTATTATTCTCAAGTCAATAAAGAGGACAGGTATGTATCTACTCTGGTTTCAGAAAGATGAGGATAAGACAATCAAAGTCTGTAGTCCGTGTGGAAATTCTACAGAAAAGCACASATTTGTTTATAACTTTTATTCGTTTAGTAGGCTTTATTGACTGTCTGCTATGTAGCAGGCCTTCTAAAGCATGCAGGGGTATATATCACCTAAAAGCAATAATACAGGTATTATAATGTATGTCACAATTCCAGAGCTGGGTCATAGCACAAAGGAGGGTTGGGGTTATTCCTTTATAGGAGATAAAAGTCACAGTGATTTCTTAAAAAAGAGTTGACTCCAAAGTAAGGCTTTGCTAATAGTATTTGTTCTTTTTAGCCTGTGTAGTCTTAATTCTGATGTTTTCACAAGGCTGTTGACAACTGTTATCTAAGACCAGAGAAAAGAGTTCTGATGCCATTTGAATTTTCTTTTGTAAACCCAATACTGATTTTACAGTTGTATAGCTTCCCTATTTAAAAAAGAAAATCATATGGAATTCACCATTTTGTACAAATCTATTGAGCAGAATTTTGTATCTGCACTGTGGCAAGTACTTGGGTGAAATAAAAAAGAAGGTGTGCTTGTTCCCTTTCAAAAGTTTTATCTTCTATTGGGGTTGTAGACATATTTGGGACATAGGTGGATCACAGTGTTTAGGCAAGAATCAAGGATCTGGAAGGTCTCTGTTGCTAATATTCCAAGAGTTGTTGGAGGAGGAAAGTTCAGGTTCAGAATATCTGTGTATTCTCTCTACTTCCAGCAAAAGGACTCATGGTGGTTATGTAGTGAAAAGACTATATCTTCYTAGCAATAGAAGAAAACACAGTTTTGATATATTTTTCTAGAGCAGCTTTGTGGTTGACTATTGTTTAAACTTAAACACTGCTGAACAGCAGTGTTTTTTGGAAAGCCCAGTCTGATAAATCCCCTCTATTTTCTTGCATATCTTGTTTGGACTGGTCTAGGGGAGTTTGGTTGATACAGTATGATTTGTAGATGCTGAATTCTATATTTTCTCCTGTTGTCTTTTCTTTCTTTCTTTTCTTTTCTTGCTGCACAGAAAATACATTGTTATGAAGCCCTTTGCATTTTCTTTTCCTTCTTCCTCCCTAAACCAGCACAAATATAATATGTACTACTTGGAGAAGTGTTTTGATCATTTCATCTCCAAAAGACAGTATTTAATTATGAATTTTAGCAAGATATCTACAAAATCTTTTATTTACTACCCCTAGTTTTAACATACCTTGTGCACTTCTAAACACTAGAAAGACTAGATGTTTCAAATAAGTATTTCAGTTTGCCTCTTGGTGTCTTTTTGCCATCCCTTTATTTCATCCCGTATTGAAATTCCATCAGTTATGTTTCTTTCAGGTTTTCTTATGCTGTGATTTACATATTTTTTTATAAATATTTTTTACATATTTACATACTACAGTTCTACAGGTATATTTTATCCAACACTTTTGTTTTTGTTTTTGTATTTTTTTTTTCCTTCATGATCTATTGTCTTTATTTCTATTGTACTTTAGACCTCATGCAGGTGAGGCAAGTGCTGTACCACTGAACTACATCCCCAGTCCCATTTGTCTTAATTCTTGTCTTAAATTAAATTCTTAATTTAAAATGTACCTCTAAAATATGCAAAAGGGCTGTGTAACATTTTATTAGAATTAAAAATACAGGGRCTGGGATTGTGGCTCAGCGGTAGAGCACTCGCCTACCTCATGTGAGGTCCTGGGTTCGATCCTCRGCACCACATAAAAATAAATAAATAAGGGGCTGGGGATATGGCTCAAGCGTTAGTGTGCTCCCTTGGCATGTGCGCTGCGCTGGGTTCGATCCTCAGCACCACATAAAAATAAAGATGTTGGATCCGCCGAAAACTAAAAAATAGATATTTTAAAAATTCTCTCTCTCTCTCTCTCTCTCTCTCTCTCTCTCTCTCAAAATGAATAAATAAATAAAATAATGTCCAGTTACAACTAAAAAATAAGTATTTAAAAAAATACATATAAGCAGTGAGTTATTTTAAGCAATAGCAATAGACCTTGTGTAATTTACTTTTCTGAATTTTCTAATGTGCCAGAATGGAAATTGGCCTTGAGCCCCGTGGCTTAACACCCAACAGGTTGATTTATTGCAGTCATTTTCGACTTAAATAGCAAATATCACATCTGAATTATTTTCTTTTGCTGCCTCTAGAGCAATACATTATCTAGCAGAGCTAGGAGTATTTGGAACCAGAATGACCACATTTCTTGCTTTAGACCAACAAATTAGAATCAAAGGACAATCTAGCATGTAAAACCTTCACCTTGTTCTGTGTGATTAGGAAGGGCTTTGTTCATTTGGAAGGTTGTTTCTTAGTTTACAGGGGCAAGGGTACCAGTTAAGGTAGCGATCAGCAACAGCTGCTAACTAAAAGTGAGATCAGCAGCCACTAGATTAAACCAAATAAAAAGGCTTTCCATGAGTGCTGGGGTTGTGGCTCAGTGGTAGAGGGCTTGCCTAATATGTGTGAGGCACTGAGTTCGAGCCCTGGCACCACATTAAAAAAATAATAAGTAAAATAAAGTTTGTTTTTTTTTTTTTTTTAAAAAAAAGGCTTTCCAGAACTTTACAATTCGTTTAAAAGGCAAAAATCTTCCCCCTGCAAAAGAAATAAGTTTTTCCTGCACTGCCTCAGCACCTAAGGATTATATGGAGGTCAATGTTCCAGCACTCACCAAGGTGAGGGTCTGTCACTAAGCATAGGCAGCTCTCAGAACATCCCACTCTATTGCCATCCTGCTTAGGAGAGGAGATATTATCACATAGTCACTCATTCTGGGAGCTGSAAGCCCTGACTATTGTAAATGGCCAAATCTGCACCTGGGCAGAGTTAGATGTGGCGGTGGTGGTGTATCTGAGCCCACAAGAGGTGTGGAGAAATGTTGCAAGGAGCCACCTGGAGGAACAGACATCTCCAGGTATATGTGAAGTTAAAGAGTCCACATCTTACAAGTAGTAGGCCTGGCAGGCTGGACAAAACTAGAACTCTGGAATCCATAGTTAGTTAAGAACAACATGATTTTAACATTAGGGGCGACAGTATTGAAGTTTCCTTTTTTTTTTTTTTTTTTTAATAAGAAACATGAATCTAAAGTAGAAGGCTTTGGCACTTCATAGGGTGGGACCCATGATGAGGAGGACTTGATGTGGCCCTTTCCGGTGAAGGTTTCATCTGTAGTCWCCAGTAGGGCTGTGGGGTGTGATTCTGGTTTTCAGATGCAGTSGGGGTGGCCTCTCACACAAATGATGCGTAGCATTGATGAATCTAATCTGTGCTTTGCTGCAGTTCTATACAGTGGGTTTGAGAATGGAGTCACCCACTCGCTTCTATATGATCATTTAATGTAGGGGTCAGCAAACTAGGTCTGCTTGCCTGATTTTTCTACCTCCTGACAGCTTARAAATGCTATCATACTTTACAAGATTGAAAAAAAATAAAAATATAAATGTACTAGAAATGCCATATATGGCCTGCAAAGCTTTAAATRGTCACTATCTGGAGTGCATCACGATCGAGTAGGGCTCATCCCAGGGATGCATGGTCCATGTGGAAATCAGTAAACATAATTCATCTCATTAATAGATTTAAAGACAAGAATCATATGATCAGGGGCTGGGGATGTGGCTCAAGCGGTAGCGCGCTCGCCTAGCGTGTGTGCCGCCCGGGTTCGATCCTCAGCACCACATACAAACAAAGATGTTGTGTCCGCCGAGAACTAAGAAAAAATAAATAAATGTTAAAATTCTCTCTCTCTCTTAGAAGATAGAAAGATAGAAAGATCTCCCAAGCTCTTGGGTAGGAAAATCTATGTTGTCAAAATGGCCATACTACCAAAAGCATTATGCAGATTTAATGCAATCCCTATTAAATTCCCCATAACATTCTTCATAGAAATAGAAAAAACAATCATGAAATTCATTTGGAAAAATAAGAGACCCAGAATAACCAAAGCAATCTATTGCAAGAAAAGTGAAGTAGGAGGCTTAACAACACTAGACCATAAATTATACTGCTGAGCCATAGTAACAAAAATGGCATGGTATTGCTACCAAAACAGAGACATAGACCAATGCTACAGAATAGAAGACACAGAGACAAATCCATATAAATACAGTTATCTCATACTAGACAAAGGCACCAAAAACATACATTGGAGAAAAGATGGCCTCTTCAACAAATGGTGCTAGAAAACTGGAAATCCATATGTAGCTAGAACAGAGACCCTGTTCCTAACAGGAGAAAAAGTAGGCCCAAATCTTCACCATGTCAGCTCACGAACTGACTTCCTTCACAAGACCCCCAAAGTGCAAGAAGTAAAATCAAGAATCAATAAATGGAATGCAATCAAACTAAAATCCTTCTTCATGGCAAAGGAAACAATCAATAATGTGAAGAGAGAGCCTACAGAATGGGAGAAAATCTTGTATRTACCTCAGATGGAGCATTAATCTCYAGGATATATGAAGAACTCAAAAAACTTAACACCAAAAAAAACCAAGAAACAAACAAACAAACAAAAAACAACCCAATCAATAAATGGGCTAAGGAACTGAACAGATACTTCACAAAAGAAGAAATAGAATGGATCAACAAATATATGGAAAATGTTCAACATCTCTAGCAACTAGAGAAATGCAAATTAAAACTACACTGAGATTTCATCTCACTCCAGTCAGAATGGTTATTATAAAGAATAAAAGCAACAATATATGTTGGCAAGGATGTGGGGGAAAAGGTACACTCATACATTGCTGGTGGGACTGCAGATTGTTGCAACCACTATGGAAAGCAGTATGGAGATTCCTCAGAAAACTTCAGAGTGGAACCACCATTTGACCCCGCTATCCCTCKCCTAGATTTAAACCTGAAGGACTTAAAATCAGCCTACTGCAGTGATGCAGCCACATCAATGTTTATAGCAGCTCCATTCACAATAGCTAAACTATAGAACCAACCTAGGTGCTCTTCTACAGATAATAGATAAMGAAAATGTGGTGTTTATACACAATGGAATATTACTTAGCCTTAAAGAAGAATGAAATTATGGTATTTGCTAGTAAATGGATGGAGCTGGAGAATATTATGCTAAGTGAAATAAGCCAGTTCCAAAGAACCAAAGCCTAAATGTTTTCTCTGATATGCGGATGCTAATTCACAATAAGTGGGGGCAGCTAAGAAAGAACACAAGTACTTTGGATTAGACAGAGGGGAGTGAAAGGAGGGGAGGGGGTATGGGAATAGGGAGGATAGTAGAACAAATCTTTGTATGATTACATGACCTGGTATAACTCCACATTATGAACAACCAGAAGAATGAGAAGTTATATTCCATTTATGTATGATGTGCCAAAATGCATTCTACTTTCATGTACCACTGATTAGAACAAATAAAAATAACAAATAAATAAATAGTTATTTTTGGCCCTTTATAGAAAATTTGCTGGTTGTATTACCTGTGATATAGATTCATAGAACCTATATTTTTTATCAAAAATTAAAGGGCTAGTCATTAATAGTTCAAGTAGGAATTGATGTCATCCTTCTCCTGATTTTCTTTTTGTTTTGAATTCCATTTCTGACAGGGTGTAGGCTAGATAACCTAAAATACTTTCTGTCTGAAAACATATAGACATGCTGGCTAACAGACTAGTCATCCCTTCAAATGGACAGCTCAGTTTCAGGAAAGAGAGTCGTCCACTCTTTATTGTGACTAGTGTTATGACAGCTTTGTAAGAGATGGTGGGGTGTGGTGGCAAAAGAGCAAGGAAGAGGAAAGTTAAGAGCTAGAAGGAAGGGATGGTGTACAGTACGGATCGGTGAGAAAAAAGTATCCCCTTACTCCTAAAACAAGACTTTGTAAAACAGTGATCATTGTGATAATGGCTGATTGGGGTTGTTAAAATGGGAATAAAATCCTATGTAAYGTGATTTATTCTGAAAAAGGATAAAGAACTAAATCATTCTTATAAAATCCTTTTTATAGTTCAGAAGAAGCATGGAGTCAAGAAAAGTTTACTAATAAAAATTTTAAGAAAAGAATTTTTAAAAATATAAGGAGAATTTGGAACAAATAGAAGGGAGAAAGGGACTTATATATTTATAATAGCATGCAGGAAAGGAGAAAATTCCCAAAATGTATAGCACAAAATAATAAACACAAATTCAAATACAGTGGTAATCATGGTAAGTGAAAGTAATCAGAACTTTCTAGTTAATGACAGATTACCAGTGTATATTTTTTAGAAAAACACAGTTTTATACTGTTAATTACAGACTCTCTAGAAACATTAAGTGCAAAGAAAAGAGAAAATGGAAATTTTCCTAAGAAAAAGAAATTTTAGTGAATTATATATTTATTTAACACAGAAAATATTATTAAGAGTAGAAATTTATTGTATAAAAATAAAAGCAACAACCCAAGATAATATAAAAATCCTTTACTTGCATATGCCCAATACTAAAACTGTATAATAAACCAAAAATTGGGAAATTGATAAATGGTCTAATGTACATGAAAAGTTTTATATATTAAAACAAAAAGTTATAAGAAGGTTTGAGTGAAATTTGAGAACTTATTCTGTGTGCATAAAACTATATACAACAATAAGAAAATATATTATTTCTAAGCTATATGAAAACCGTGTGAAATTGAAAAATCAATCTGCTACAGAAAAATTCAATACATTTTCTAGGAAACATCTTCTAATGATGATGTGAGTCCATTATAAGAAAAAAAAACAGCTTTAAAAAAAATCAATGCATTTGTCAGTTAGTATTCACATTTCTAAATACTCCTGAATGAAAGATTTTTTTTTACTATGGAAAATGTCAAAAATATATGAAATTGTACACTTGTAAGGTTATTGTAGTTTTGGTGTGGGATATAGAAAGCAGGAAATGTCACATTTGAATTGATAAAGGGTAAGTGCAAAGTGTCGGGTGTAAACACGTACAATATTGGTAAGTTAGTGCATATTGCTACTCCTAGCAACCACTGAAGGTACAAAAACAAAGAAGAGGTATAAATAAGAAGTCAATAGAGGATATAAAATGGAATCCTATAAATGCTTTATTAATTAAAAGGAACAAGAGGAACTCTAAAACAGAGAGGGCAAATGGGGAACAGATAATATGCAAGGTAGTTGACAAACCCAGCTAAATCACTGACAACATTAAATGTAAATGGTTTGGGTACATCAGGTACAAGGCAGAGATTGTCCAAAGTGGATAGAAAAGAACCTCACCATATACTACTCATAAAAAAAAAAAATGCACTTAAATTAAAAGTCACGGATAATGGAAAGTAGAAGTGTGGTAAAAGGCCTGTCATACAAACAGTAAGCATGAGAAGCTGGTTGATTTATGTCATAAAAATGGGACCAAGAATGTTCTTCCTGGACTACTGTAGTCTCATATTTTTCCTGCCCGTAGTCTTCTGCTCTTCTTTATAGTCCTAAACATTTACTGCTTTCCCCAGGAAGCCTTTTCTCACCCAAGACCCAGTACTGTGGGCTCTAGTAGTAGTCTGTTCCTCTTGCCATCCTGTTTACTCTTCTGTGCCTTAAGTGTCTGACTCCTCTGTATTTTAAGTACTCTTCTGTCTCTAAGGTCTGTAAAGAAGGGGCTTTGTCCCTCTCTCTGTGTTTTAATTATGGTATTTTTAGCATTCTGCAGAGTGCCTTAATCACCTACGTTCTCAATAGATATTTGTTGAATGCATAAATACATGAATGATRACTTAATGAATCATGAAGAACTGTGTTTGAAAGGCCATGTTGTTCTCTGTGGCAATATTTGTTAACTGTCCAAAAAATGACAGTTTTTTAAAATCATCAGAAAGTTTAAAAATTTTAAAAATCATGTATTCTGTTTTCATTTAATGAGCTATTTCCCCCCCCCCCATTTATCTGCCATAGACCCGAGTTAGTAGTCAAGAAACTGCGATACTATGCAAGATTCATAGTAGTTTGTCTTCTTCTCAACAAAATGGATGTGGTGAAGGATCTGGTAAAGGTAACGTCCTTTAAAATAAGAAAAATCCTAATCTCTATTTGTATACAAATAGTTTTATTAAAAGTGAATTTTACGCTGGGTGTACTGGTGCATGCCTGTAATCCTAGCTCTTGGGAGGTTGGGGCACAAAGATCACAAGTTCGAGGCCTACCTCAGCAGTTTAGTGACACCCTKTCTGAAAATAAAAAATAAAAAGTTCCGAGGGTATAGTTCAGTGCTGGAGTACTTGCCTCACTTGCATTAGGTCCCCAGTTCAATCTCAATACTATAGACTAACCTAATTTGTGCATATGTATGGTACTGGAGATCTTACCCAGGGCTAAATGTATGTTAAACATGTGCTCTACTACAGAGCTACTCCCACCCCTAAGCTAATTTTGATATATCTAGTGACAACATTCAAAATACAGTACCCTCTGACAAAAATAATGATAAAAGTTTCCCACCTCTCTTCTTATTTTAAACATCTTTACACTGCTCTTAGATAATTATCTTATTTTCTTTTGTCCCTTCAGTATGYTTTACACTTTACAGCCCATCAGTGGATTGTTGAGAAATGTAAACAAAGTTGAAATACTTTATTTAGGAGAAAATGATTGAAAGGTTAGGTTGAAAAAATTTATAAAGTTTTATAGCAGTATTGTGAATGAATTTTTTAGTTTGTATCACTCTGCCCTTCATTCACTCAGGTGCTTAAAAGCTAACTGTCTTGAGGGTCCACTTAGTTATTGCATAGTCCACAGTTATTGCATACCAAACTCAGCTTGCTCTACTATCAGTGGTTTCAACAGCATATTAATATTTGGTTTACAAGTATAACCTACTAGTTTTCACAAAGCCACCAGAAATAGCTCTGTATAATCCTCTTCTGTCTTCCTCTACCTCCAGTTACTAATAATACTCCTTGCAAAATACAGTATGATATAAAACCAAATAATATCAGGAAGCATTTTAAAACACACACACACACACACACACACACACACACACACACACACACACACACACACACACACACACACACACACACACACACACACACACACACACACACATACACACCTACATATATATATAGGATGCACTTAGTGTTCACAGTTATTGCATACCAAACTCAGCTTGTTTTACTACCAGTGGTTTCGTCAGCATATTAATAGTTGTTTTTCAAGCATGACCTACTAAAATGTATATATATAATATATATGTTATAATATAGCTATGTATTTTTATGTGTTTTATATATGTGTGTGTGTGTGTATTTAGTTGTAATTGGACATAATACCTTTATTTTATTTATTTTTATGTGGTGCTGCGGATCAAACCCAGTGCCTTGCATGTGCTAGGCAAGTGCTCTACTGTTGAGCCATAATCCCAGCCCTGTATTTTTCAAATTAATTAATTAATTAGTTCTAATTTGTTATTAGAAATTGTTTAACATTAAAATTCATTAATTTTTCCCTTTAGACTTTTCTATTAATAAATTTTTTGTTGATGTAGTGCTAAGTAGGGATTGTAGCTCTATAAAGATCTTATTTGTGTGTGTCATTTTGATGTTTTGAGTTTTGAAGCAAAAACCATGCAATTTTTGTTGTTTTCCATTATAATTGGAACTGTGTATATCTTCTATGAGAACTATATCATGTTCTGTCAAGAATGTTACAATATAGCTATGTATTTTTATGTGTGTTTTTAGTAACCTCTTTTCTTTGTGGTATTTTAAAATCAGGAATTGTCAGATGAAATTGAGGATTATACTCACAGGTTTAATACTGAAGATCAAGTGGAATGGAACTTGGTGCTTCAAGAAGTGGCAGCTTTCATTGAGGTCAGTGTTTGGAAAGAAAGACTACTAATTATGGATAAGCAAATGGTCGTATGGTGTGTGTTTTTTTATTGTGGATATATGTAAGAAGAAGAAATAAATTATTATAGTGATCTTTGTCTCACCATCAGCTTCTTACTTTTTCTTTAGGCGGATCCTGTAATGGTGTTAAATGACGATAATACCATTGTTATCACATCTAATCGCCTTGCTGAAACGGGAGCCCCATTGCTGGAGCAGGGCATGATTGTGGGACAGTTGTCTCTGGCTGATGCACTTATTATTGGTAATTGTAATAATCAGGTAAAGAATTGTGAAGAAATTATGCTTAAAATTCACTTTAAAAATGTATTTATCATATAGAATTCTTTGCTTGTAAATATCCTAATATCTTTCAGTGAGGAAATGATGATTTAAATTATGCTGTGTGCATGTGTGGCGACCCAGGAGGCTGCAGCAAGAGGATCACAAGGTGGAAGAAACTGAGCAAGACCTTGTCTCAAAATAAAATAACAAAAAGGACTAGGGATGAGGCTCAGTGATAAAATACCCATGGGTTCAATCCCCAGTACAAAAAAAAAAAAAAAATTATGTGCATATTACTGAAATTTAATTGTTTAGAATGAATTTTTAATGACACAGGGAGATTCTTATGATAAGTGAAAATTCACTATGGAAGTATATAAATAAAATTATGTGTCAGAAGTCTATATACATATATGCACAGAAAAGGAATAGCAAGAAATTTACCAATGTCTAGAAGGTTTACCTCTCTACAGCAGAATTACAAGTGTCTTTTATTTTGTTCTTTGCAACTTTCTAAGCTATCCAAGAGTTCTATATATAATATTCACAATCAGGGAAAAGTAAGAGAGGAGTTGTTTTTGAGTACATTTGTGAAAAGTGAATTTTGGATTTTTTTTCATGATAAAACGGTTCCATGACGATGATAAGGATTTAATGTACTAGAAATGTAAGTTACTAAATACTGCTGGATGTTGAAAAAGTCATGAATTTTTCTATATGTGTTATAAACTCAAGTTTTAATTTTGGAAACTTCCCTAGGACCTATCATTTTTCATATTGTATTTTGCTAGTAAGTACTCTTTCATTTTTTATTTATATAGCTATTATTTTTCCAATTTTTAAATTAAAACATTCTTAAAATTATGTGCACACATGAACTGGACAGATTTTGAAACATTTAGTCTGTTTAGTTTTATTATCTGAAGGATCAGTATTTTTCTCACTTTTTTAAATTCAAATAAAATTTAATCAAAGAAAAAATTTTAAAATTTAATTAGTTATACATGACAGTAGAATGCATTTTGACACATTGTACACAAATGGAGCACAACTTCTTTCTCTGGCTATACATGGTGCAGTCACACTGGTAGTATAATCATACATGTATGTAGGTAATAAAGTCCATCTCATTCCACTGTCCTTCCCATCCTTTCCCACCCTCCCCTGCCATCCCTTCACTCCCCTCTGCACAATCAAAAGTTCCTTTATGATTCCCTACCCCCCCTATTATGGATCAGCAAAGAAATTTTTATTAATCAAGGAAATGAAAATTAAAACCTAATGACCTTGGCTCACTGGTATGTACCTGTAATCCCAGACACTTGGAGTCTGAGGCAGGAAGATCCCAAGTTCAAGACCAGCCTCAGCAATTTAGCGAGACCCTGGCTAAAAATAAAAAATAAGGATTGGGGATGTACCTTAATGGAAGTGCCCCTGGGTTCAATCTGTGATACAAAAACAAAACAAAATATTACTTTATCTTTTACATTTAGATCTGTGGTCAATCTTGAATTTGTATTTATTTTGGTGACATACCTTCAGTTCATGTTATGAACCTCAATATAGCTAAAGTAAATTATCTTTTTTTTTCATTACTGGGGATTGAACTCTGGACTGCTAGGCAAGTGCCCTACCACTGAGCCACTTCCCTAACTCTTTAATTTATTCAGACAGAGCTTTGTTAACTTAAGTTAGCTTTAACAGACTTAAAATCCTCTTGCATCAGACTTTTGAGTAGCTGGGATTACAGTCATACACCATTGTACCCAACCCAAAATTATCTTTTGAAGAAATTTCACAATGAGAAAAAAATAAGAGTTTACATATGAGCACGGCTTGGTGGCACATGTCTATAGTCTCAACTAGTATGGAGGCCTAGGGAGGAGTATTGTCAATTTGAGGCTAGCCTGGGGCAACATAATAAGACTTTGTCTCCAAAAAACAAAAATCTAATATTTACCAACTGATTTGTGATATCCATTCTTCATTTTTTAGTGTAGAATTGTCATCTGTTATTACTTCCTTCTGCTAAAGGTTCTTTTAATATTTCTGGTAATGTAGTATTTTAATAATGAATTCACTTGGCTTGTTTTGTTTTTGTTTTGCATATATTTTTTTCTATTTACTTCATTTTCAGTTTTGAAAGATTTGGGGGCTGTATATAAGATTTTGGTCCACTTTTTTCAACAGTTTAAAGATTTTTTTCATTGTCTTTTTATTTGTACAATTTATGATCAGCACTCTGAAAAATTCTGTCTTGTAATATGTCTTTTTTCTTTTGGCTGCATTATTACTGGTTTCAGCAGTGTGATTATGATTTTAATTGTGTGTGTGCATGTGTATGTGTGTTTATTCTTCTTAGATTTGTTGATTATCTTGGATATATGTGTTTATAATTTCCTCAAACTTGAAATTTTTTCAGGTAGTATTTTCTCAAACATTATTTCCATCCCTGCTTTACTTTTCTGTTTTTGAGTCTGTGGTTCAAACTGTTAGACTTTTATATTATCCTTAAGCCCATTGAAGATAATAAATTTAATTGAATTTTCATTTTATTTTCTTTGGTACTGGGGCTCACACCCAAGGCCTTACACACATTCTGGGTAAATACTCTACCACTAAGTAGTATCTATAGTCCTAAAGCTTTTTTTGTGTCCTTCCCTTGGATTGATTCTGTTGCTTTTAACTTTGGTTCACTGATATTTTATTTTTTCAGTATTCAATGTGCTGTTAATCAGATCCCCAAACATGTTTATTTCAGATGTTATATTTTCATATGTAGAGCTTCCGTTTTGTGTTACCGTTTCTGATTCATTATGTATGTTTGCTTTAAATATTTGATTTGTTATAATACCTGTTTTAATAGCCTTCTCTCCTAATTTTTCATCATTTCTGTATCTGCATCTATAGATTGATTATTTTATTTATTTTTTTATTATTGATCAGTTTCCTGCTTCTTGGCAGTGTTTAATAACTGTTGATAAAAGTAGAGGTAGTAAATAAAACATTTTGTAGATTTTAAAGAAAATTTGTGATTAGGTGTTTTACAGGCTGAAGTGTTTTGCAGGCTGAAGCTTAATCTGTTTGCATTGATTTGGTTTAACCTTTTAATTCTCTGTATTTCATATAAGAAATTATTCATATTGTCTTGTACACTTGATGTTTATTTGTATTCTCATTTGACTTTCTTCAAAGTATTTTTTCACATGTACTTTGTATGAATTTTCTCAGTTTTTATTTGCCCTAATATGTCTTTATTGCCCTGTAATTTTTTAGCTCTATAACTTGAGCTTGATTCCTTTGTCATTTTCTACATCTAATTACATTTTCTCTTGTTTCTGTTGAGAAATGACCTATTTTTGTTGAAACTATCTGTTAGATTTATTATTTATCGCATATTTTGTTTAAGGAAATATTTCTTTCCTATATGTTCTTTAAAGATTTTCTATCTTTGTTTCTTGCAGTTTTACTGTGGTATAGCCAAATGTAGTTTTGTTTTGTTTTTTTAATCTGGCTTGAGGTTCACAGAGTTTCTAGAATCCGTAGGTTGATGTTTTTCATCTATTTTAAATATATTTATGTCTCCAAATACCATTTATCTTTTCACTGTTGTTCTCCTCCACTTTTAGGACTCGAGTAACATGTCTGTAGAGACCAACAGTGTCACTTGGGGCTGTTACATTCTTTTCTATATTTTCTGTAATTTTGCTTCTCTACTTTAATTATTTTCACTTCACTTTTTTTCTACTTCACTAATTTTCTTATTTGTCTAATCTACTATTAAGCCTTTTACTAAGTTTAAAATTTCATATGTGATCTTTCCTAGTTCCTTAGCTTTCCACTTGATTCTGTTTGTATAGATATTAATTTTCTAACAAAGCTCTTTTATTTGTGTGCTACTGTGTCTCTCTTTCTTTTTTTTTTTTTTTTTTCTTTTTTTGGAGGGTGTGAACCCAGACCACTCACCTCCCATTTTGTTGTTGTTTTATTTTTAGTATGGAGATATTTTGGAGATTGGTCTGGCTATAGTTGCTAGGGTAGGTTTTGAACTTGTACTCCTCCTATTTCACCCCTCAAATTGCTGAGATTGCAGGCATGTGCCACTATGTCTGTCTACATTTCCTTTCTATCTTATTGATCACATTTCTCAGTTACTTTAAGGTTTTTCTGCTGACTGCACTATCTAGATCACCCATGGTTCTGTTCTAATGCCTATTTCTCTTTCTTACTTCAKTTTTATTGTCTTAATTCTTTGCTTGCTTGCTGATTTTTGATTGACTCCCTTGTAGTGAAGTTTGCATATGGTAGTAACTATCCTTTAGTAAAGTTGTGTTGATGATAATGGAGAATGGTTTCAAGAAATACATAGAGCTGGGTGTTGTGACAAAGATCTATGATCTCAGCAACTTTGCAAGACCTTATCTCAAAATTTTAAAAGGGGGCATAGAATGGGGCTTAGTAGTAAAGTGCCCTGGGTTCACTCCACAGTTCTAAGAAAAAGACAGAAAATACAGCCAGTAACATTTGGTAAAAACCTGGATACAGAAGGAAAGAAAGAATAGATGTCAAAGACGGCTTGAGTTTAGGGCTTGGTGTATGGGTAGATAGGTAGATGTAGCAAAGGAGAATTAAAGGGCTAGCTAGTGAGGAACTAAAGGACTGGAGGAAGTTTTCCTAACATTGAGGAACAGGAAATAGAGCAATTCAAGTGAGTCCTAGCATGACAGATCATTTAAGGACTAACAGGTTTGAACTCTGAAGTGCAGTGTGTTCTTTTGACAGGAAAATAATCTATTTCAAGAGGGGTAGCTGTTATCAGGCTAATGTGAGGATCTGTAATTCTATTGTGCGTAGCATCTGTTCTTTAGTATCCTCTGGTGGTGGACCTTGCCAGTCATACCCTGGAGCAAGCACTCTTACTGCTTTGCCTCATTTTAGACAAAGAAAAAGAACAGATGATGAGAGTTTTTAAGGTCTAAGCCCTGGTCTGAAAGGTATTTTTTATTCTCTTGTGCAGAGGTAACATAGGTGGTAAATATGTGGATCTTTAGGGCAGTTTCATTTCAGAAAACTCAAGTAGAGACAGTAAGCATGGCCAAAAGTGCCCATCTATGTGACTTTGTTCTTTGAAAGTTTGAGAAGAATTAAAAATTTTGTTCAGTCTCCTTAAAGGTATATTCAATGAGGGCTGAGGGCTGAGACTCAGTGGCAGAACATTGCTTAGCATGCTCAAGGCCCTGAGTGCCATCCCCAGCACTGAGGGGGGGGGGGGAGATAGATACAGACATATGTAGAGATAGATAGATATTTTAAATGAGTTCAGTGTTTGAAACTCTAGTGAATATTCTTCATAAATGGATTCTTTCTTTAACTAAAAAATTCCTTTTATTCTGTAGAAATGGGTACATGTGCCCACCTGAAGTTGTATATAAGTATTATTGAAAATGAAAAGGGGGCCTGGGGATGTGGCTCAAGTGGTAGCGCGCTCGCCTGGCATGCGTGGGGCCCAGGTTCGATCCTCAGCACCACATACAAACAAAGATGTTGTGTCCGCCAAAAACTAAAAAATATTWAAAAAATTTTTTTTAAATTATTAAAAAAAAAGAAAATGAAAAGGGATGCAGTTTTAAGTATTGTGTAGTACCAACATATACTGTAGAGATTATTCAAATGAGTCCACATATATCTCAGCCTAGCTGTGAATCAGCATGCTTGGTAGGAAATTATATAGTTTCTGTAACTACATTTCTGTTGTTTTTAAGAATACCTGAGACTGGTCACAATGGTGCATGTCTATGATTCCAGAGACTCTGGAGGCAAAGGATCCTACATTTGGTGCCAACCTCAGCAACTTAGACCCTATCAAAAACAAAATAAGAAAGGCTGATAAGGGGGCTGGAGTTGTGACCCAGTGGTAGAGCGCTTGCCTTGCATGTGTGAGGCACTGGGTTTCATCCTCAGCACCACATATAAATAAATGAAGGTTGCATAGCATGTCATATTTTTTTACACCTAAAAAAGTAAAAAGAAAAGAAAAAGTAGAAAGGCTGATAAGGTAGTTCAGAGGTAGAGTGCCCCTGAGTTGGATTCCCAGTGCCAAAACAAAACAAAACCTAAGGAGGGGATATAACTCTGGTAGAGTATGGGCCGAACACGTGTGAGGCCCTGAGTTTGATACTGAAGGGGACCGGGATGGCTAAAACAAAAAATCCCTAAGGAAATGAATGGATCAATAGAGATATGAATAGGCAGAGAGATGTGTGATGAGTGAACAACAAGAAATTATAGAATCTGGATGATAATCATGTGGATGTCACTGCATAATTCTTTACCCTTCCCCTCTTTTGAAAATTCCCAAATACTCAATTCCATTAACTACACATTGAAAGTCAAGAGTAATAATGTGATTAAAGTCCACAATGTCTGGGGCTGGGGGCATAGCTCAGTGGCAGAGGGCTTGCCTCGMAAGCCCTTGGTTCAATCCCCAGCATTGAAACAGGAAAACGAAAAAGCAAAATGCCACAAGATCTGCATGCTGCATTAATGCCCAGGTTTATCTTTCTTGCAGGTTAAGTTCAGCGAACTAACTGTTGACATGTTTCGGATGTTACAAGCCCTGGAGAGAGAGCCGATGAATTTAGCTTCCCAGATGAATAAGCCAGGAATGCAGGTGAYCTTCTCCCTACATTTGCAAATGTGGCAACTCCCTTGCTGCCTCCGTGTTCCTCATGTGGTATTTATTGATTTTTACATTCAAATGTATGCACGTGAACACAGAGCTCTCTCTTGATAAGGAGAAATAGATCATACACTGAACATAAAAAAGGATATTTGATAGGGAGGAGAGGTAATGAAGGCATTGATAATTCATCTGTCAAATATGCTTTTATGTGTATTGGTTTCTGTGTGTAAATACAGGAATCAGCTGACAAACCTACTAGACGAGAAAACCCCCACAAGTATCTGCTCTACAAACCAACCTTCAGCCAGCTGTACACATTCTTAGCAGCATCTTTTAAGGTACGTGTAATACAACACTTTTTCCCATGTGGGGAAAGTATGCCCTGAGTGTATCCAAGAGTCACTCTTATCTGAATATTTGAGTTAAGAGTTTAGGTAAAATGTGAAAATGAAAAACTTTAGAATAATATTCCCAAATATAATAAATAAAAACTTTAGAAAATATATATAAATGAAATTTATAAATATATAAATTTATATATTTATAAATATATAAATAAAAACTTTATAGTTTTAAATATAGCTATTTTTGGAATGAAAATTGCTTATAATTTGTAAATGTTTCTGACCATGAGTTAATGAGAATATTGATTAGTTGTCATTCTCCAGCCTTCAGATTTTTATTGCTAAACTACTTTAGGTTTAGCAGTTAGTGCAGAACTGAAAACTAAGAGCAGGTTGCATAGCATGTCATATATTCAGGCAACTTTCTGAAACTTTTTTTTTCATTTACTGTGAGAAACATTTTAATCATCTGAAAAAAATGATGAGAAATGGTAGTATGCTCTAGGTTTGCCTAGAGAAATCTGTGGAGAGGTATAGAACTGTGATCAAGATCTTTACTTCTCCATCCCACRTGCAGTGGCTCATGCCTATAATCCTGGACACGTGGGTGGCTAAGGGTTAGGAAGATCACAAGTTGGAGACCAACCTCAGCAACTTAGCAAGATTGTGTCTCAATAAATAAAAAGGACTGGGTATGTAACTCAGTGGTAGAGCTCCCCTGGGTTTCATCCTAAGTATCAGGAAAAGAGCTTTGGTTCTGTACTTCAGGTTTGCAGAGAACATTATCTAAATAGTGAGGGTTCTGAAGCAGAGAATGTCTTGACAGCTTTTGGGAAGAGTTATACRTTATAGATTCATAATGAACCTTTGCCATGTAGATAGTTCTAAATCAGAACTAGCAAGTGACTTTTCCCTTGGATAAAACAACAATATGTTACCTTACATTCTTGTTTTCCCCACAACATAAAATGCCCAATAAAACTGTGTTGCTTTTCCATGTTTGTTGTTTTGTATATGTGATTTTCTTTAATTTCAGGAGCTGCCTGCCAATAGTGTGCTTCTAATTTACCTGTCAGCCACTGGCGTTTTCCCCACAGGTCGTTCTGATAGTGAAGGTACAATAAAGGAATGCTCCCTGTCGTGAGCAGGGCTTGAATTCTCTTTCTTTTCTACAAGACGTTGGCCCACAGCCCACAGACCATCTCACACTTTCTAAAGAGGCTTCCAGATTTGAAAACTGGTTTATTTGAAGCCCATAAATCATCAGAAAATTAATTTAAATGCATGCTTCACTATCAAATTTGCCCAAAGCCTTATGGAGTTTCATGTTTTAAAGTGGAAAGGGGTAGCTGGGCGTGGGTGGCACACGCCTGTAATCCCAGCAACTTGGAAGGCTTGAGGCAGGAGGATCACAAGTTCAAGGCCAGCCTCAGCAATTTAGTGAGGTCTTAAGCAACTTAGTGAGACCCTGTCTCAACATAAAATGGACTGGGGATGTGACTCGGTGGTTAATCCTGGGTTCAATCCCCATTACCAAAAAATAAATAAAATAAAGTAGAAAAGGGTGATGGAATAACAAAGTCTAATTATTGACTTAAAGTGAGTGATTTTTTTTTTCCTGAGCCGTTAGTGCATTAGAGGGTCTGGTCAGTGGCTACATTATGGCTGAAAGTCTTTGTAGAAATCAGTGTACTTTTGTAACTGTGAAAGTTCAAGTCCTTGTTATGCTTTTGTTTTCAGTCCTTTATTTTGTTTTTATGGATTTAGTGTGTAAAATATTGGGATGCTGTTTCAGAACAAAGCCTAAAAACTGTCCAAATATATGATCTAGAAATTGGTCAGAATAGATGATTAGCTTGGATGTAAATAAGGCAATTAAATCTTTGGGGAAAAACAATTTCTTGACATTTTAAACATTTTCCTCCTCATCTGTTTGTTGAAATTTGCATTCCTTTATAAAGTGCATGTCCCTGCCATCTTCCTTGCATGACCTACAGATTGTCTTAAAATGTTAAAATGAAAACAAAGCAGAACAAATCTCTATAATATTTCCATTGATATGTTTTAAAAGCATAAAATATAAAACGTTGGCAGTGATGTAAAATTTTAAAGTACTTTAGTTCGTTTGTACAATAAAATTAGTAATTTTATTATAAATACTTTTTCATGTCTTATGCCTTATACTGTTTTCTGGGTTCCTGCTTGATGTATTGACCTTGAGAGAAATTATCCATGCATCCCATAATTGTTGTTCTGCTTAGACAAGAATTGGCTAATCCATATGACTAGGGGGAAAACTAGAACTGAAGTGATTGATATAATAGTGATAATGGAAAATTTTTTTCATACACTGAAATTTGGCAATGCATATGTTGAAAAGGCAGTTTTAGCAATCAGATTCTCCAATTACATTAAAAATTTTCTCTAAATGCTACAATTAGTAGCTCATTTAAAATTATATGTATTTTAAGAGATTAAGACTTTAGTCTACAGTTAGGCATAGTGGCACACACCTGTAACTGTATTGACTCAGATTGGGGCAGGATTGCAAGTTTGAGACCAGCCTCAGCAATTTAATGAGACCGAGTCTCAAAATAAAAAGGACTGGAAATGTAGYTGATAAGTGCTCCTGAATTCAATTTTTAATTGACCCCACCCCCATCAGTCTACAACTATTCTTTTTAAAATAATTGTTTTAAACCAGACATTTAAACTTTGCTTGAATTTTCTTTGTGTGTGTGTATGTGGTACTTGCAATTGAACCCAGGGTGCTCTACCACTGAGATATATTCCCTGGCTTTTTTATTTTTAATTTTACGACAGGGTCTTGGGAATTTGCTGAGGCTGGCCTCAGGCTTATAATCCTCCTGCCTTAGTCTCCAAAGTATCTATGATTACATGTGTGTGCCACCATGCCTGGCTAGATTTTACTTGAAATATAAAAGTCATTCTCAGTATCTCAGGTCTCATCCCTTTTACTACCTAAATTAATGGGATGTAGTATATTCTAGTTTGTTTCTCTTTATGTTGTTTGAAAAAATTATAATGAGATGATTTCTTAAAATGTCAAAATAGGCAATATATTGAAATCATTTAAATGTTGGATTAAATTAAAATGTTACAAATAATTGAAACACTTTCTAATTATTGTCCACTTGTATTACTGAGAGGTTCATGTAGTACTTTTATATCTGAATCAGATCAGTGTCACCCTCAAGTTGAAGTCTAGGATTCTTCCCTTTGTTTTTATAGGTCCTTATGATTTTGGAGGTGTACTTACTAATAGTAACCGGGATATTATAAATGGAGATGCTATCCACAAACGAAATCAGTCCCACAAGGAAATGCACTGGTATGTATACTGGTAATCAACCCCCGTGTAATTATGGCTCTCTTTAAAAATATTAAAGTGAAATGGACACTTTTTTCTAGTACTGGAAAGGTTCCCTTAAACTACTATTAATAACACGTGCGGCTGGGATTGTGGCTCAGTGGCAGAGCGCTTGCCTTGCTCATGTGAGGCACTGGATTTGATCTTCAACACCACTTAAAAATAAATAAACAAAATAAAGATCTTATTTAAAAAAATCAAATTAACACTTCTGTGGATTCTAGCAATATTTCAGTTTCCAAATATCTTAGGAAATTAGAATTTGGGACTGATGTTCATTTAACAAATATTGAGAATCTACTATATGTCAGGCACTATTAAAGCATTGCTATTATAATAGTGAACAAAACTGCATTGCAGTTGAAGGAGTCAGTAAATATTTACATCAATAAATAATAAGTTAGATCCTAATTCCTATTAACATTAATATGAATCTTTTTTTTTTTTTTTGATGCAGGGTATTGAACCCAGGGACTCCTGCATGCTGGGCAAACACAACCACTGAGCTATACTTCCAGCCCAATATAAACTTTTTAAAATATTCTTAGTTGTAGATGGACACAATACCTTCATTTTATTTCATTTTATATTTTACGTATTCTAATTTGTTATATATGACAGCAGAATGCATTTTAATTCATATTACACATGTCGAGCACAATTTTTCATGTCTCTGGTTGAACACAATGTAGTYGCACCATTTGTGTTTTCATACATGTACTTGGGTAATAATGTCTGTCTCGTTCCACCTTCTTTCCTAGCCCCATGCCTCCTCTTACCCTCCTTCCCATTCGCCATATGTAAAATTTGTCTATTCCTCCCATTCTCCCCCCCAGCCCCATTATTAATCAGCATCCTTATATCAGAAAAAACACCTTTATTTTATTTTTGTGTGGTGGTGAGAATCAAACCCAGTGCCTCGAATGTGCTAGGCAAGCGCTCTACCACTGAGCCACAGCCCCAGGCCCCCAATATGAACTTTTAAATGTAGGATTCTGTTGGTTTGATCTAGTGCAGATGAACTAAGTTGAACAATTTCAAATAGAATTTCACCTATAAAGGTTTGCTTTTTTTTTCTCTTTTCTTTTTTTCCCTTTGGTACTGGGGATTGAACCCGGGGGTGCTTTACCACCAGGTACATCTCCTGACCCCTCCTTTTTTTTTTTTTTTTTTT